ATCTATCACAATAACAGTGATCTGATAAATGCCCACCCCAAGTCATAATAGATATGAAAAGTTAAATAAAGGGTAATCCTCTAAGTGTCACAATGACACAAAGCCTAGGGCCCCGTCCACACGAAGTCAAAACGAACACGAAGCGCTGATATTTTCCAAAACGTTTGCCGTAAAGACGGAGACGTAAAATAAATGTGAGCGTCCACACGAATGCATGAAAACGCTGCAAATGTATGCCAGGCCTGTAAGTGGCGCTGTGGTGCCAAAGCAAAAATAAGCGACGAAATGTTGGGCATGCGCACTAATATTTATACATGGTTGCCCTGCGGGTCCATTTTCGTGGTTAAGTCAAATTCAGAGCCATGCCTCTAATATCCCAAACACCAAGAAGCCCTTCAGATGTTTATCTATAGGAAGAAAAGTAAAACCATACAAGCTTTTAGTTGCACTCCCTGATGCTGCGCTTCTCTGTGAAGATCTATCTGATTAAATGTCAGTTTATTTTAGTGTGACGTAAAAAATGTGGGAAAACTGAAGATGCCATATCTCTTAGTGGTTGGAGCATTGTGCTTGGAATCCTGAGGTTCTGAGTTTGAGCCCCACTTCCACAGCCTCTGGGTCCCTGAGCAGAGACCCTTAACCCCTCACTGCTCCCCGGGGGCCGCACAATGGCAGCCCACTGCTCCCCAAGGGGATGGGTTAAATGCAGAGAGAGAATATTATTCCTCTGTACGCAGGGCGGATTTATAATTAGGCAAAACTAGGCAGGTGCCTGGGGCCCCAACTTCCTGGGGGCCTCATAAAACTCCTTTTACATGAATGGTAATACAGCTGTTACTTATTTCTGCACATTAATTATGTTTTTGATAAAAATCCTTTCACTAAAATGCCATCAGAATGCTTATAATATTAAGTGTGTCTCAGCCCCCCCCCTTCAGTGTCCACCATATTGGATCAGTCCATTTGCTGCACATGTTCAGAAAGGTCCAAACAGACAGCAGCAAACCATTAGAAAACAAGCGATGCAAAGAGCAGTGCTGCTAACTTAGCGCTTTAGTCGCTATATTTAGCCACTTTTCAGACCCCTCTAGCACTTTGATTTCTAAAAAGCTCCTAGCGCCAAATCTAGAGCTTTTTTTCTGCTACTGGAGACTTTGGAGACAACATCTAAAAGCAGCGAACTCTGCTCTCCAGAGCGAGTAGATTGGTAACCCCGCCTCCTGCTCTCCTCTATCTTGTCTGCTGTCATGATTCATGCAGCTATTATTTCATCCAAATGAAAAATGGAGAACAGATAAGCAGATCATGGCTTGTCTACAGTGAAAAGAAGGACTGGGTTATTTACTTTTGGAAACACAGGAAGGAGCAATCAGCTAAGCGAGCTTAGTGCTTGGAAAAAATCTTTCATTCCTTTAGAGACAGCATGAAAAGTCAGCTGAGTACAAAACATAGAGAGGAAAACAAGAAGAAAAGGGACAAGAAGAGAGGGACACAACCTAGAACAGATAATGGATGTCTATTCTATTAACATTTCTCTATCTGTAGAATGGGACTGTTTTATGTGTTGTCTTCTCCATTCAGAGGGGCCCCTGCCTGTCTTTGCCTAGGGCCCCAAATTTCCTAAATCCACCCATATGTACTTGTGGCAGTGTAATGACAATACAGTAAATTCAAATTCTATGTGATTGAGTTTAGAAAAGTGTAGCACCGATACTGATCCTAGTATCAGGCGGGGCACCAATTCAGCACTAAAATGGTGGTATCAGTATCGGCGAGTACCAACAAATAGGGCACAATACCATTCTGAGAGCCAAAAGTTTATTCAACTATTGTCACCCATTCCAGGTAGGCAATAAAAAGTTCTACTGGATTCACTTTGTTTTAGTCTTTTTCCTGCTTCATAAAGGGAGGCAGCAGCTTGACAAAGCCGTGATGGCAATTATTTTACATCCAAGTAGAATGCAGTTCTTTATATATAAACACACACATCAATTTCAAACGGATGGTATCAGAATGGGGCAATACTGCACAGCCAGGTATCAGGGCCAAAAAATGGCATCGGAGCAACAAGAGAAGCATATCTTTAACATTTTTAACTTAAATATTCTGTAGGTCTATTTCTAAATGGTGAGAAAAAAAAAAAAATATATATATATATATATATATACTTAAATATTCTGTAGGTCTATTTCTAAATGGTGAGAAAAAAAAAAAAATAAAAAATAATAATAATATATATATATATATATATATATATATATATATATATATATTCATTTTATATTTTATTTTTTTTTTCCCTGATTCTTTAGATTTTCCCGACATGCTGGTCAGGAGGAGCCAAAGCTGCCCCCGGTGGTTGAACCCCCCCGCCACACCCAGCCAGCCCGCTCCCCGGAGGAGCCCCGTGCAGCGGGGGGGGTCAGTCCGTGAGCAGCAGGTAGGGACCCTGCAGTAGCTGCTAGCAGCAGCAGGCTGTCCCACGGCTAACTAACCTCCACGCCCCGCCTGAACTCAGCCGCCTTTCAATCACACGCTGAAGATGAACGAAAAGAAAACATATAAAAATGAGCAAAGCTCAGCCCGAGGCTCTCCCCGCTGCTGTTCCTACGCCTCCATATTAGCATGTCACCGCTAACTAGCTTCACTCACTAGCCTGTGAGGAAGAGGGGCGCATGATTTACTGCTGGCATCACACCAACCCATCTCTGCACGCAGCGCGATGCTTTCTATCCACCTGGTTTGAGTAGAGACGCGATTAAAGGGAAGCATTTAACATCTTTGCATCTAGCTACAGATGCAAACTGTTTTAACCACAAACAGGATCCATCCCGTCATAAAGCGCATCGTTTCTACCAGCCCTCCATCAGGGATTCACGCTGATTAACTGCTAGAAAAAGGAGCATCCTGGGTGTAAAAACAAACACACCCAAAAGTACCCGCGGGGATTGTGTTAGCTAGCTAACACGACGCTGTTTGGGGGGGATTACCGAATGATGCAGCTCACGATAATCAACCCCCCCGGGAGAACCATTTGTGTTGCAGCTCACCTTAAGGCGCCCTTTCCCGCTGTCTCCGTGGGATGATATTCCATCAGAGGACGGCGCTCCGATGCCCGGAATAAACCACAGCGCTCCGCAGCACAACAGTGCGCCCCGCAACAGCTGTGCTCTGTTTTGAATGAGGACTGAGGAGGCGCACGGAGGACGGGCGGAGCTTCCAGGGTGCAAACTGGGGCAGGATGCCCGTCATCCTCAGCAGACCGCCTTTACTATCTTTAAGTACACTGGTCTTTTGTCGGCGTCATTGTTGACTCGTACAGTGGCGGTTCGACAGATGGTATCAACGTTTCTCTTTGTCTATTGTTGCAGGCGGGATGTAACAAAACAGAAAGCTTCTAGTTAGATTTGAAATTAAAGTTCAATTGTTTGGTTCTGCTGCCATCTAGTGGTTAGATGCGGTATATCAATTCAAAAACACAATGACCCTTTATAGGGCACCCATTGAAATAATTTGAAAACATAAAAAAATTATATTTTGATGTCAAAAATGAATGTCAGTGTAATAGCAAGAAACAAGAACTTTCCCAAATACATTAAGAAAAATAACAAAACACTGACAGTAAAAGATACTGCTGATACTGGAACTTACATTTCTTAGTTCATAAACCTAAATATAATTATTAAGTAGGCTTATTAACTTTTCAATTAGCTATTTACTTTTTTTCTTGAGTTAACTTTTTTTTCCAACTTAATTTACAGTACGTAATATATCATCAAGGGCTCATCTAATTGGTCAAATACCAAAATAAGATGTACAGCCATGTAGCAGGATCTTTGCTGAATGGCTGAATATAGATCTTATGCTTCTAGACCTCACTTGGGGATGGGGGGGGACTCCATTTGATCAAAAACTGTAACTTTCCCCATAAAGGGTTAAGGTAAATGAAGGGTTTTAACTTTTATAGTGGTTTCCAGGTCTTACAGCAACTCTTAATAGGTTTCAAAGACACTATTGTACGACATTCCATTGAAGACGATGTCTATAATGATGTTCATTTTATGAAGAATTGATGTTAACAGAATCATTTCTTGAGGTTCTAGAGGAGTTCCCAGAAGAGAACAAGCCCTCTTCATTAGTTTGTAAAGCTTAAAACAAAAATTCTACATGTAAATCAGAATATCACAGAATTTCAAACAAGCAAAATAATAACAGATCAGAACACTAGGGATGTATTTTCAATAATTCCCTTTGTTGGTTTTGATAATAGCATGTATCTCTCTTATAAAGCTATGATGCCATTATCATAAGACCATTTTTGAAAGGATTTTGAGCACAGAGATGATGCACAGAAGAGTACTTCCATGTATGCACTTAATTTTTTTGCTACTGGTTCAATAACAGTCAAGCATGAGAGTGGAAGCATTATGCTGAGATCTTTTAGGCTAGTGATTCACTGAAATGAATGAAGAGGTACAGACTCTTCCACTCTAAATCAGTATATAGGTCAATAAAGGGCAGTCGGGCGTTCCTGCATGATAATAATCCCAAACATACATCAGAAATGGTTTGCCTGATAAAGCAAAGTCAACATTAGTCTTCAGAAATATAAAGAATTGTTTTAATTCCCATAAAGCAGTTAAGGCTGTTTAAAATCAGAACCAGTAGCTGATATTTAACAAATTCAAGATCTCAACAAAGAGCCAAAAAAGCGGTTCTCTGCCCAACCAGCCTCAAGTATTCCTGACGTCTGTATCTAAGTGATGATGCAACCCGGTTGTCTCACCTTTGAACCAAGCTGTGCATCCCTAGTTCATCATTTAAAGCTTTGAATGACAGAAAAAGTAAAACTAAATTCAGACACTTGTATTGATCCTGGTTACTGTGCCCACATTTCTCTCAGGAAACAGTTTAAAAACATTGATGATGTCTTCCTGATCTAATCTAATCTGTACATCTTTACGGACCAAATATAGAAGAAGTAAAAGAAAAACAATGTACAACTTTTAATCAATTTATTGTTTTGAAAATGACTATTTTGTATATCATACAAATGTACACAGTTCTGGCAATCTTACATCTACAGACTGTAATGAGGCAAAGAGATGCATTCAAAGACACATTATTACCACCTCTTACATCTGATGATCCAGCTATTCTCCAAGCAGACAGTCTGGAGGAAAACATTTGTGGATAAACGGAAATAAAAATAGAATTACATGGGAACGTGTTAAATCACTCCCCAAATTTCAGCTGCCTTTCTTTTTCTAAACCGTGCAGCTCCTTGGCTCGATTCTTAAGCTCCTCTGCCTTCTTCTCGTCCTTCTCTGTTCCGTCCCCGAGCCTGCACATCCGACTGGCGTTGGCGCACCCCCACACGTGTCCCAGCTCACAGGCCCTGCTGGCGAACTTAAAGGCTTGACTCATGTTGGGTGCCAGCCCCTTGGAGTTGCCCTCGATGAACAGGGTGCTGAGGTTGAAGCAGGACGGAGCGAAGCCGCCGGCGCAGGCCTTTTCGTAGTACTCCCGAGCCACGGTGACATCAGGGCCCCCCTCCAGAGCTCGCCCGTCGTGGGCTAACAGACCAACGTTATGGCAGGCGTCGATGGACTTCTTTCCTCCGGTTTTGCAGGAGCGCATGAAGCAGGAGTAGGCTGTTTTTAGACACTCTGTCACTCCGCCTGGTGAACACATTCAGGACTTTATTAGAGATCCAATATAAAGCTAAAACAATCCATCCAATTAATAGCAATCAATTACTGAAAAACTGATCAACTCATTTAGTAAAAGAAGTGATTCGTTTACTACTTAGGGAATCATTTTAGCTTCACTAGATTCAAATTCTGTAGTAAAAAATTAATAAACTTGTAAGAACCTCGTTACTGATATGAACTTTGTCATTAAATTACAACATTGTAAGCAATTAATTTAACATTTTTAACATGTTTTTATAATTCATTTTCAAGTTCCCAGAATTATTTTAACTGAAGGAATTTATTTAACCAAGTAATTTTTTTTAGATTATTCAAAATTCATAATCACTAGACTAATCAATTACTATAAAAGTCTAAGAATTAATACTAATTATCAGCTTAAATCAAAATTGAATGAATGAATCAAAAGTACTTATTAAAGCGGAACGCCGTTTTTTCTTTACATTGGGCCCTTGATTTTACGTTATTACCAGGTAATGTCTTCCTATGTGCAACGACTTGAAGGCACAAACTAAACCATTCATAATTTATTCTTTATGGTACGCCAGCATTCATAACATGTAGGCGAATCACTGTCCCCCAGACATCCGCGGTATATTTTTAACATTTATATTTTTTTAAAACAAAGTGGAGTGTGTATGACGTCATCCGCGCGCCGGCTACCGTTCACTCTTCCTGTTCGCTGAACTGCTGCTAGTTTTCCTCACATGCCTGGAAGATGTCTAGTGCATTTGCCCAGAGTTTAACTGTTTTCATTTGGTCTACAAGGTTGCAATGCTTAACATGATGTATTTGTCCACAGAGGGAAACAATATATATATATATTTATACCCTCAAATGATGTGTTTGGTTTTAGATCAATTATAGTCAGATCTATGGCAAGAGAACTGCTAGAGAACTGTTTAAGTACCTTTTCCGGTGACATGGTACGCTCCAATCTTATAGCAGCTCTCTGAGTGTCCATTTGTCTCACAGTTATGTTTGAGGACCTGTGCTGCAGAATCATAGTTTTTCTTTACACCCTCCAAATAGTCTGCTAGCCTCTGGCACCCTATGGAGAAGCATCAGAAAGGGAGAGACAGTCAATGTGTAGAATAACACTGAAAGCAAATAAATAATAAAACATTTCTATCTACATATATACGTCTTGAGATATTGATTGATTGACTTTATTGATCTCACAGTGGATAAATTTACTCTTTACATCAGCTCAGATATTAAAAAAGAAGAAAAAGGTGCATGGGGTGTTTATATAGTATATACAGTGGGTCCACATATATAACATCACATAATTAAATAACACTAACTAAAGAAGTTTAACAAAATGCAATACCTTCAAGCAAAATAAACAGCAAAATAACATAAACTAAAATACCGGTAGTATTAGCAAATAAAATAAATTTTAAATAATATAAAATGATAAACAAAATAAACTCAGAACTGTAAAAAGTTAATAGCCGTAATAGAAAAACTGAACTATATGAAGGGGAATAAATATAAACATAACTGTGAAATAAGAAAAACATTATATAAGAAAAAATCATCCATCCAACATTTTAAAATAACATAGAATGGTATAATTAGAACCTAAGAATATAAAACTGGATAAAAGAGCTATTAGTTACCTTCAGGGTCCTTCTCCTTGTAGCACTGGAAGCTGTACTCTACCCCTAAATTATCCAGAAACTGTTTCACCTCATTTTCATCCTCAAAGTTAATAAGGCCCGCCATCTTTCTCAGGTCCGCCGCGCGCGCAGCACCAACGTGCTGAAGGCTGAGCCGCTTGACCTTGCTCTACTGCGAGGTTTTTGAATGTCAACTGGTCCGCTTCTTCTTCTGGAAAACTCAGAGTGGTTCTGCTAGAGTTGAAGCCGCTCTGAGAGTTAGCTAATTCTAGCTAACCTTTAAAAACCGAGGAGCATTAGCTCTTTCATAACTATCCTCTGCGGGCTTCCGTAGAGCAGCCGTCGGGTTCTACTAATGTACTTCCTGTGTCGTGACCTTTGTTTACAGACCTCTCTCTCTCTTGCTTCAGAACGAGGAAAAAAAGAAAAAGGAAACAGACGTCACTGGCGGTGAAATCTTCACTAGTTCCCCATTTCGCAGGTTTAGTGTCGCTTATGTTGTCGGTCGGTATGAATCCCGCCTCGTCTGACTGTTCGGGCTGTTTTAGCAGCGCGCGAGCTTTCCCAGCTCCGATGCAACAACAAGTGAGCTAGCTAGCTAGCTAGCAGGTTGTTGGGTTTAGGCTCACCGTCCGCCTCAGGTTCCTGCCCCCTCAGGTGTATCTGAACAGGCGGGTGAAAGGGAAAGTGAAAGGCTCCGTCCATCTGGCTCTTTCTGACTCCGGTCGCTGTTGGATTCACAGACTAAACCATGGCTATGGCCTCTTTGTTTTTAAACGCGGTAAGTATGCAGTTTCTTTTTCCACCAATCTTTTTTGGGTTCGTTTATAAAATCTGATTATCAAAGCTCTTTTCCTCGTGTATCCAGGATGATGCCTCTCCAGCCTCCCTGACAGACCTGTGCCTCACCTATGTGAGCCAGAACCTGGAGTGTTTCTGCACCAAGCTGCCTGATGGCTCCCTGTGCTTCAGGGAGGCTGTGATCTTCCCTCAGGAGCTGGCAGATCAGCTTCTGGCCAAGATGGCCACTGAAGGTAAACCTGATCTAAAAAAAAAACAACTAGTTTATGATGACAGATGTATTATCATTAAACAGCCTATAAAGCCAACAGCTTCATTTCCCCATAGAGGTATTTACATTTCTAAAACTCATTGTCACTTGAAGTTAAAGGTGTTTTGTTCTTCTAAAAGGAGCACACTCTCCATCTTTGTATTCTTCTTTTGTTGTCGAGGTGGAAAAAGTGTTTCCATTAAGATTTTTTCTTTTCTCATATGTTATTGTTGAAATTACTGCATTATTTATACTTTTTGCTTTGCTTTCTAAAGAAATAACACTTGAATATTTCTCATCCACCCACACAAATATGCCTAACAACATTCAAAATTATTAACCTCTTCAAAACTTGTAGTCAGATCAAGAGAAGGCGTTATTGACGTGATTACCCAGCATGCGATGCATACCAGGACTATAGGGCTGTGTCTCTATATAGGGCTATTCTACGGTGGCCCTGAAGTGCAAACTGCAACTACAAATCTAAAAGCGCAACTACATAAAGCAAAGCGCAATGTAGTTGCGCTTTTAGATTTGTAGTTGCAGTTTGTACTTCAGGGCCACCGTACTATAGAGCATAACATAGTGATTGGATTATTTTAAATGAGTGTCTGAACGTCTATTGGATGAAAAAGTAATGGACTTGAAATTTTCCACAATGCAACTTGAAAAGTAGTGATCAAGATGATCAAGATGGCGCAGGCACAGCATGCGGGGGGGCGAGACGCATGACCATTGGGGAGCGAGAAGTAGTGATCATCTCTCTGAACCGTCAGTTAACTCGGTTCACTATAAAGTCCATTATACAGGTGCTGGTCATAAAATTAGAATATCATGAAAAAGTAGATTGATTTCAGTAATTCCATTTAAAAAGTGAAACTTGTATATTATATTCATACATTACATACAAACTCATATATTTCAGATGTTTATTTTGTTTAATTTTGATGATTACAAATGACAACAAATGAAAATCTCAAATTCATCATATCAGAAAATTAGAATATTGTGAAAAGGTTCAAAATTGATGGCCCCTGGTGCCACACTCTAATCAGCTAATTAACTCAAACCACCTGCAAAAGCCTTTAAATGGTCTTTCAGTCTAGTTCTATAGGCTACACAATCATGGGGAAGACTGCTGACTTGACAGTTGTCCAAAAGACGACCATCGACACCTTGCACAAGGAGGGCAAGACACAAAAGGTCATCGCTAAAGAGGCTGGCTGTTCACAGAGCTCAGTGTCCAAGCACATTAATAGAGAGGCGAAGGGAAGGAAAAGATGTGGTCGAAAAAAGTGTACAAGCAAGAGAGATAACCGCACCCTGGAGAGGATTGTGAAACAAAACCCATTCAAAAATGTGGGGGAGATTCACAAAGAGTGGACTGCAGCTGGAGTGAGTGCTTCAAGAACCACCACACACAGACGTATGAAAGACATGGGTTTCTGCTGTCGCATTCCTTGTGTCAAGCCACTCTTGAACCACAGACAGCGTCAGAAGCGTCTTGCCTGGGCTAAAGAGAAACAGGACTGGACTGCTGGTGATTGGTCCAAAGTCATGTTCTCTGATGAAAGTAAATTTTGCATTTCCTTTGGAAATCAAGGTCCCAGAGTCTGGAGGAAAAGAAGAGAGGCACTTCATCCACGTTGCTTGAAGTCCAGTGTAAAGTTTCCACAGTCAGTGATGGTTTGGGGTGCCATGTCATCTGCTGGTGTTGGTCCATTGTGTTTTCTGAGGTCCAGGGTCAACGCAGCCACATACCAGGAAGTTTTAGAGCACTTCATGCTTCCTGCAGCTGACCAACTTTTTGGAGATGCAGATTTCATTTTCCAACAGGACTTGGCACCTGCACACAGTGCCAAAGCTACCAGTACCTGGTTGAAGGACCATGGTATCCCTGTTCTTAATTGGCCAGCAAACTCTCCTGACCTTAACCCCATAGAAAATCTATGGGGTATTGTGAAGAAGAAGATGCAATACACCAGACCCAACAATTCAGAAGAGCTAAAAGCCACTATTAGAGCAACCTGGGCTATCATAACACCTGAGCAGTGCCACAGACTGATCGACTCCATGCCACGCCGCATTGCTGCAGTAATACAGGCCAAAGGAGGCCCAACTAAATACTGAGTGCTGTACATGCTCATACTTTTCATATTCATACTTTTCAGTTGGCCAACATTTCTATAAATCCTTTGTTTTTATTGGTCTTCAGTAATATTCTAATTTTCTGATATGATGAATTTGAGATTTTCATTTGTTGTCATTTGTAATCATCAAAATTAAACAAAATAAACATCTGAAATATATGAGTTTGTATGTAATGTATGAATATAATATACAAGTTTCACTTTTTAAATGGAATTACTGAAATCAATCTACTTTTTCATGATACTCTAATTTTATGACCAGCACCTGTATATCCCAGCTCTGTATAGTGATTGAGGGATTTAGGAGTTATGGCGGACATCTAGACACAGCCTAGGACTCTAGAATCTATTCTTGAAATCTTTCAAAAGAATAAAATAACCTGCCTTGTTATCTACTTTCCAAGTGTAGAGACTGTATCTTCCTTATTCCGGTAAGTCTCTGAGATTGCAGGATTTGGTTTTCCTGCAGGTCTTCTGAATGACAGCACAGTGGGGGTGTTTAGGAACTGCGAGTATCTACGGTTGAGACGAGCCTGTATCCGTACAGCCCGGATCTCTGCCGAGGCCTTCCAGAAAGCTTTATGCCCGCACAGGCTGCTGGAGCTGGACGCCACCAGGGTCAACGCGGACCTCACCATCCCCGACATTCTGCATCGGCTGGCCACCAACAAATACTGTCAGGTGAAGTAATGGCCGACGTCACTCAGGCGGCTAAGTTCTCTCTTCTCACAATGTGAGGTTAATTTCCAGCTCCTTTTTTATTTTTACCCTCCAGGAGTCTCTTCAGCGACTAGTCTTAACCGGACTCACCATGTGCTCACTGGTGGAGCAAAGTCGCTATCGCTTCAGCACCCTGCTGGGTCTGCGCTCACTCTCTCTAGCTAACGTGGACTTCTACGACTCCGGGCTGGTGGACGTTTGCTCCCTGCCTCGGCTGGAGAGCCTGGATCTGTCCAATACCTCCGTCACCAACCTCAGCCCGCTGCTGGGCCTGAAGGAGCGGCTCCGCTCGCTGACACTACACCAGCTGAAGAGGCTGGAGATGAGCACAGCTCAGCTGCTGGGAGTCATCGGCCAACTGAATGTACTGCAGGTTAGTGCTAATCACTGTGCTGCTGTTTAACTTAAGAGGAAGCCTCATTACTTTTAGTGAGAGAACACCTGCTTGTGGTCAAAACGCAGCACCTGGACATAAGCGACGATAAGCAGTTTACCTCCGACGTGGCCCGTCAGCTGCTGGCACAGCGCGGGATCCTCCCAGCTCTCGTTTCCCTGGATGTGTCTGGGAGGAAGCAGGTGCGTGTCCATGACTGTTCCTCTGTCCCTAAACTCAAAAGGCCGCAGCCAATATATCTGTTTTCCTCCACGTGTCGCAGGTGACGGATGCGGCAGTCAGGGCGTTTGTTGAAGAGAGACCAGGGATGACCTTTGTCGGCCTTTTGGCCACGGATGCCGGCTTTTCCGACTTCCTCTCCGGAGAAGGAAACCTTAAGGTAGGAATGGAAACAAGATGGATCTAAGAGCCAACGAGGGGCAGAGATTCAACAGCTGAGCTCTTTTCTGCATGGAAACAGGTAACAGGAGAAGCTAACGAGACTCAGATCTGTGAGGCGTTGCGTCGCTACAGCGAGAGGGAGGGCTTCGTCAGAGAAGCTCTGTTTCATCTGTTCAGCCTAACTCATGTCATGGAGAAACCAAGGCCTGACATTCTAAAGGCAAGTCATAGGATGTTTATTTCTTTATTATTTACCAAGAGTTTACGAAACACATTCCTTAACGGGAAAAGATAAAACCATTTGTCTAGTCATGAAATAAATCTGTATGCCTACTACTAGGGATGCACGATATAATCGGCCCCCTATCGGTATCGGCCTTAAAACTGAATCAGCTTCTGAGTTTCTAAAGTCTAAAAAAAAAATAAAAATACTACTTCTTCTTCTTCCTCAAAAACGTCTTTTTTACAGACTTAAAAACTTCTAAAGACGAGGGAAAAAATATTGAAACACTAAAATATCACAATATTTTCATATGCTGATATATTGCCATTTAAAAACACCATACCAATCTCTTTTACTAATGAAATATTGCTATATGTCATTGTTATGCTACGAAATCCCCCGAAAATTCACGAAATGTTGCCATATTTTTATATGTTGATATATTGACGTGGTGTCGATCTATTTTACTAACAAAATCTCACAAGAATTTGCAAAATATCACGAGAGTTTGTAACAGAACGATGAAATTTCACGAGATTTTGAAAGTAAAATAGATCGATACCGCGTTTTTAAAAGTCTATTTGATATCAGCATATGAAAATATATTTGAGTATATTATTTTTCAAAGTGTCAGAAATGGATAACAAAACTGCTATTTTCAATGACTACTTATTTTTGTCCAGCTTTAACATCGGTATCGATATCGGTCATCGGCTACATGAGTTTTAAAATATCGGCATATCGGATATCGGCCAAAATCCCAAAATCGTGCATCCCTACCTACTACCATAAACAACAAATACCGGCCCAGTGCCTTCCCTCTACGCTTATAACTTAACCCTTTGATTTATTTATTTTTGTTTAGCTCGTAGTTTTAGGCATGAAGAACCATCAAGCCACTCTAAACGTCCAGCTGGCTGCCAGCGCGTGTGTCTTCAACTTGACAAAGCAGGACCTGGCAGCAGGAATGCCGGTCCGGCTGTTGAGCACCATCACCCAGCTCCTCCTGGAGGCCATGAGGGCGTTCCCAAACCACCAGCAGGTAAAGGAGCATATATCATCTATTCTTTTGTAGGGGTGGAACGGTTCACAAAATCCACGGTTCGGTTCACGGTTTCGTGGTCACGGTTTTCGGTTCGATTCGGTTGATTGTTACACCGAAATCCCATAAAAATTAATGAAATTAATGAAAAAATCCCCAAAAATTAATGAATTGTAATTATTTTTAATGATCCGCGGAAACCCTGCATCATTTCCGTATGTTTTGCTGCTTTGAATTTAATCATCTGGCGTATGCCCTCTACGATCTCCAAGGAACTCAGAGCGGAGCGGACGGGAGCCACAGTGGGGGCTGTAGGCTTTGCTTTGAGCAGCCGGTCTGGAGCGCAGCGGGGCGGAGCGCTGACGGAGTATGAGGGATTTCGGGCTTAGCATGACATGTTGGTCATGTTGCTGTCCGCCGTCATCGTAGGTCACTCTAAATGCAAAGTGGTCCCATACAGCAGACCTATAAAGTGCTGCTGGCGCGTCTTCCAACTCCTGTTCTTTCCCACTCGCCATGCCCACACAATTCTCCACAACAACTGATTTTTTTCTGCTACACCCGGCTACGCTACTTCGCTTCTTCTTCTTGTTTACTGGTAGTTGGCTTTGGTCGCAGTACCGCCACCTTCTGCTCTGGAGTGTACGCGAACCGAGTGTACCGAACAGTTCGGACGGTTTTCAAAAACTTATTCTTTTGTCATCACAAAGTGCATCTGTACTTAAGGTACCTTATTTTTATGGGAGTCTGATTTTGTGCAACAAATGCAGTAAGGCAGAGAAGTCTTGTCTATGAATTGTCATTTTTCACAGTTAGCTGGTTGAACAAAGTTTTAGGAAATTCTCAGTGTTTTTTTCCTTTTTTTTAGGAGACATTTCCTTTCTCCACTTGTTCAACAGAAGTCCTGCTGAGGAGCAGCATAGACTGTAATCTTCTAAATCAGACCCATCCTTATTCTGAATTAGTAAAGCTAAAGTGTCCTTAGCATGGTTCTTTTCCAGTGGTTTAGCAGACATCATAAAACTACAAAACTTATCTGTGTAAATCTGAAACTTTCTTTAAACGTGTTGGAACAGCTCAAAAATTTGAATACAACGAATTTCCAACAATCAAAACATTTAGCTTCCCTTTCATTGTTTTGACCTTTTTCAACTAGATTAATGGTTCTTGGTGGAATCTGTTTACCCAGAGCCGGAGGTTTTTACAGGTTCTGCTTTTTTTTTTGCTTTGTCTTTCTGCAGTTGCAGAAAAACTGCCTGCTGTCTCTGTGCAGCGATCGCATTTTACAGGAGGTACCATTCAACAGGTCAGAAACCTGCATCTACTTCATGGATGATGCACGTCCTACCATGTAGCATCCTCAGCTAAAAGGCCTGGATTGTGATTGGTCATGCATTTCTCCTCCCAAGGTTTGAAGCAGCCAAACTGGTGATGCAGTGGCTCTGCAACCATGAAGATCAAAACATGCAGAGGATGGCGGTGGCTATCATCTCCATACTGGCTGCTAAGGTACACATGCTGTTTGTGACTCTCTGCTCTTCATTCCTGGATCTTTTTAACGATTGTTTGCTCTTTTTTTTTTAGTTGTCCACAGAACAGACGGCCCAGCTGGGAGCAGAACTGTTCATCGTCAAGGTAACATTCCCCTCACAGCTGATTACTAATTCACCATGAATTATTGTCACTTTTGCACAAAATGCTTACAATACTCTCTTCCTGCTTTGCAGCAACTGCTGCACATTGTGCGTCAGAAGGCAAACCAGAACGTGGTGGATGCAACCCTGAAGTTTACACTGAGCGCTCTCTGGAACCTAACCGATGAATCGCCTACAACGTGTCGCCATTTTATCGAGAACCAAGGCTTGGATCTGTTCATTAAAGTGCTGGAGGTACGCAGAAATAAAGCTGCCTGTACAGCCACCTCTATAGGAGTTAATCCTGTGTAAATCTTTGCATAAAATATGTGGATATCAGTGTATGGTAATGTGTCCCCTCACCATCTCTGCAGTCTTTCCCAAATGAATCCTCCATCCAGCAGAAGGTTCTTGGTCTCTTGGTGAGTTTACACGCCTTTTGCTGCTCATCTGAGTAACTCTGTGCGCCTTTCTCTAAATTACGACCTCAACATTCCTACTTGGCCCTCTGCTGTGCAGAACAACATAGCCGAGGTCAGGGAGCTGCATGCGGAGCTGATGGTGCAGAGCTTCCTGGACCACATCAGCGCTCTGCTGCACAGCCCCGAGGTAGAGGTCAGCTACTTCGCCGCAGGGATCCTCGCACACCTGACATCACGAGGAGAGGAGGCCTGGGTGCTGAGCCCGGGTCTGCGGTGCACGCTGCTCGAGCAGCTGGTAGGAGTAAAGCAGAACTACTTTCAAGTTTAAATCTGGATCACATGAAGCACTGTGGTGATTTATCTGTGCATGCCTCTCTAGCATGCTGTCATTATGAAGTGGCCCACGCCCGAGTGTGAAATGGTGGCCTACAGGTGAGACACACATCCCACATGGCGATTGTTTTACAAATGTATCATGAATTTTTTTTTATATATAAAGTAAAAAGCATACGCCGGACAAATTGGTTATTTAAAGACCTTATAACATTTCATAATAGAAACTAAATCTCCCCTTCACTGGTTCTTCAGGTCCTTTAACCCGTTTTTCCCCCTGCTGGAGTGTTTCCACACACCGGGAGTCCAGCTGTGGGCAGCCTGGGCCATGCAACACGTGTGCAGCAAAAACGGTGAGACTTTGCAGAAGTGTTTATTGTGTGTATTTATCCAATTTACTGTTACATTACAACAAATATCACTGGATTTAAAAATTTTACCATCTAAATACTCCTTAATGACATCAAACCCAACCAATTGAAGATCTAAGGTTTACTAGGGAACGAACAGCTTTATCAAACCAAGGAAAACGGCAGCCGGCTCAGGAGGATGGGATGTTTTCAGCAGGGTTGGGCTGTAGAACAATATTTCTAGATTTGACCATTTCAGGGAGCTCTGCTCAAACAGTCCTCTGACAATGGAAAGATTTGAGCACAACTACTGACCTGCCAAGTAACGCTCATCTGCATGAAGGCTTGAACACACCAAATCAGATTTTGGATCTGATCCAACAGAAAATCATGTCGGACGAGGTTGTGGCGTTTAGCGCTCGCTGAAAGTCAATGGGGATAATCCCACCCGACACGATTTTATAGAAGCAGCAATTCAGCAGCAATTTCATGGGTCTGACAGGAAGAGAGGCACGATTACAAAGTAAGTTTTGAGGGAAAATACAAATAAAATCTGTTAATCTCACGGGGAAAGAATCAGTTTTGGAGTTGGATATCATGTTTATAGTAAGCAGGACAGACTGGTGCAAAAACAGTGAATGAAACATAAAAAAATACATGGTAGGAGTTCAGGAGGACAGAACAACAGATAAATCCTCACAGAAAAACAAAAGGAGGGGCAGACAGAGCAGGTAACCGCAGCGTTTCTCTCTCGCCTCTTTATGAGAAGAAGAAAGAAAAACTTGGATAAACTTCCCTGATCTCTCTCTGAGAATCACCTCTCAGTCGCCATAGAAACCGCCCCACAGCGTTTATTGTTAGGTTTTTCTTCTCTTTAGGCCTATCAGTGTTATTTTTTTTTTATAACTTTTCATAATCATCTCAAGGCAGATATGGCAAATTGTTTTAATTTGTGTAAAGCACAGAGACGGAAGTGGGTAAAAAATAAATCTATGCAGATCTGCCCACCCTGCCTAGTCGGAGTCTCTCTATACGCAGTCAGCGGGACAAATGGAAAAAAAATCGGATCAGAGAATTAAAGTCTTAACCAACCGCTGTGTTCAGGCCTTAAAGCTGGAGAAACTGAGCATTGTTCACAAAAGCAGTCGCAACTGCAGATAGTAACTATCAGGGGTGTGAGGGAAAAAAATCATTTTGTTGATATATCTTGATTTTCGGCTGCCCGATATAATATAAATTTTTCATTTCCTAGCATCGATTTTTTTTAAAAAAAAGAAAACATTTTACCTTAAACAATGAGGTAAATGGGTTACCTCTGCAGCCCTTTAGCTCTGCAGCGCAGCACCGTACCTGTAGTTGGGACAGTCACAGTGGAAGACGAGGACTGACTCAAACCCCAAACAACATGGATACCAAAATAAATAAATGATCAAAATGTTCCAATGAACATTTACAGCACTTGCTTATTTGTCTGTACATTCATTTTGACAGCTGCGAAAAATAACACTATATACAGTGATATTACAATATTGTGATAATATTCTTTGACCCAAGTATCGTGACGCGTGTCGTATCACAACACCCATCCCAATACTCACTCCTAGTAACTATGGAGGAGCTGCAGACAGTCATGGCTCATGTGAGGAGTGCTGACGGGGACAAAAAGATAAGCTGGTAAACGTAGAACAAAATAAGAATGGTTTTAAATCTGAACTTGCTTAGTGACAGGAAGAGAAACACTTTATCCACACTGAAGCACGGCGCTGGCAGTATCATGTTTGAAACTTCTCTTTATCAGTACAAGGAACTAAATCGGGGTTAATGGGAGGATAAATGCAGCTAAATCAGGGTTAATGGGAGGATAAATGCAGCTAAATCAGGGTTAATGGGAGGATAAATGCAGCTAAATCAGGGTTAGTGGGAGGATAAATGCAGCTAAATCAGGGTTAATGGGAGGATAAATGCAGCTAAATCAGGGTTAATGGGAGGATAAATGCAGCTAAATCAGGGTTAATGGGAGGATAAATGCAGCTAAATCCAGGATAATTCTGAATAAAACTTAAACATGGGGCAAAAGTTCTAGACTGGTTCAGATCAAAGCACATTGTCGGGTATTTTTGAAAATCTAATCTAAATTCTGCATAGATTGGAGCTTTTGTGGCTGAAGCGTGTTCCAGGATCCAAAAGAAATAAAATCTTCCACCGAATTCACGTTTTTTTAAAATTTTTATTTTAAAACAATAAAGACAAGGTAAACAAATACAAACGAAAAAATGCCTCCTTAACTTTCATAATTCTAAATCTTAGGCTCCACAGACCACCGTAGTGCCAACGGCATCAATCTAAGAATGGCTACTGTACCGGGCACCTCCGCAGAATCATTCAAAGCCACTAAGTAACGTCCTTTAATTATTCTAATTCGTCATTTTAACCTTGTACATATTTTAACAGAAATTATTAATATAACTCATGAATCTAAATTAAATATCAAATATTTTATCAATATGAAATAAAAACATGAAATATAAATATCAACCATATATATAATTTGGGGCAAATTCAAAACTAAGCATAAAATAAGCATCTGGCTCCTACGCATGTTAATGTGCTAAAATCCAACCAGGAGTTATTAATTTTTAAACTTGGTGTTCTTTACCCACTGACTGTTAAATGACTTTACTTTGTGTCAGTTAGTAGATTGGGAAAAACCCCAGTGACGTATATTCGGCTCCAGCTGCTCACCTCTTGGTCTTTGTGTTGCTGCAGCTTCTCGTTATTGCAGCATGCTGCTGGAGGAGGGGGGCCTGGACCAGCTGGAGCTCGTTCACACGCACCCACAGACCCACAGGGACGTCAAACTGCTGGCCGAGAGCATCCTGGACAGCCTGCAGCGCCACAGACCCCGCACAGGCCAGCCTGCACACACAGGGCGACGTCTGGCCCCCCAGTGACATCACTAAGGTGAAGGAGAACCCTGCGCTGTTGTTCTTCCTCTTTAAGCTCGCACGCAGCTTAGCAGCCGTTTCGTTTCTTCCCTTTCAGGCGACGGTGTTCCCTGATGAGGAAGAGGACGTGAAATGCGGCCTCGCAGCAGGAAACAGTTGTGTGAGAGTGCATGCGTGGGCGAGCCTGTTGCCCATCTCGCACACAGACCATCTTTATAAAGACATCAGAGACGATGCAAACCTTTGCACACACTAACCTTATTTATTTCTGTTGTGTTCAAAACAGAAACCTCACTGCGTGCCAGTCTCGTGTTGGAAAACTGAAATTGCTATAAGCTAAGTTTGTATTTGTGCTCTTCCTCCTGACTGTGGGCACTTGGATGTTTCTCAAACAGGAAACCATCAGGATGTGTCAGACTCCAAACACCTGAGCGGGGGGGCGGGGTTTGCTGCTTCTGATAAATTCTTTATAGTCGGAAATTATGGATAAATCTTTAAATATATGCATGACACCGCTGAGAGCTTTAGCATGCTGGTGTGAATGCTCGTACCATGGATTTTATAAACGAGATCAGCTGGACGAAGCCTCCAGATCTGCAGGCCATCTTTTTTTTTTTCTGCTGACACCTTTATCACCATGCTACAAGGAAAAATAAACTTCACCTGGGAACATTCAGAAGATGGAAATGCTCCTGAAGCTACTGATCATTTCCTGTAAAATTCAAAACAACCTTGAAGCTATAAATCATGTGAGAAACATACAAAGAAGAAAAACCAGAAGAAGATTTTACGGAAACGTCCACTTTGGTTTCTGGAGTCTAATGGATATAATGATGTGGTCGATGTGTGTTTGTATTTCTACATTTCTCTCCACCCCTCAAATCGCCTGAAAGAGCTCCGGTTTCTACACTGTGTTATCTCTATACAGTGAGAGCAGAATAGTAATCTACCAGGGTGGGGTTCAGGTGATTGCATAGAGAATTAATAAAAAAACAATTTAATATTTTCTCCTGGATATAAATAGAAATGATGTTGAGACGCCTCTGCAGTCCTCAGGGTTCCTACACATTGTCCCTTTATTTTGTAATGCCGTACTTTTCCCACCACTAAATCGTCAAACATATTTTTATTGTTGGTAAGACTCTGCACATTTGGGCTGAAAGTGTTGAACTACAGATGGTTTATCACACTGCTGAAGTTCATCATCATCCTCTCCAATTGAACACCTGCTGTGTTTTAAAATCTACCAAATAAATAATGCCTTGCAAATGTTTCTGAACTGTTGAAAACCTTTTTAGGAGACAAACATAAGCTTCAGTGTGTTCTGTTTTTAATAGGGATCTTATGCCATACATAAAGTAGCTCATATTTGTGAATGTAAAGATAATTATACCTGGGTATCAGCCTTTTCTTGCAAATAAAAAGTCTGAAACGTGCGGCATGTATGTGTATCCAGCCTCTATGAGTCCAAACTTTGTTGAGTCGTCTTCAACTGTGATTACTACGGAAGAGGATCAGGGCCACTGGGAAAAAAAAAATAAAAGTTAACTGATTTTTTTTATTTTATTTCAGTATAATATGGAAAAAAAAGTCAGAATTCTGACTTTAATCTCAGAATTCTGACTTTAATCTCAGAATTCTGACTTTTTTCTCAGAATTGTGACTTTAATCTCAGAATTGTGACTTTTTTCTCAGAATTCTGACTTTTTTCCCTGAAATAAAATTTAAAAATCAGTTTACTTTTTTTTTTTCAGTGGCCCTAATCCTCTTCCGTAGATTACAGCAACAAGTGTGTTGGGAGACAAAAACAGATTGATGGAGAGTGATTGTAAAGATTGTTTTCTAAATATGAATAATAATTGAACTTTATTGATCTCACATTGGATAAATTCACCTCTGCATTTAACTCATTTCCTCTGGGAGCTGTGGGCTGCCATTGTGGGGCGCCCGGGGAGCAATCGGGGGTTGAGGATCTTTGCTCAGGGACCCAGAGTGAAAATCTGTGGGAGGGGGGGCTTAAACTCAGGCCCTATGCCCTAACCACTGGTCGCCACCCCCCTCTATATTGGACATATTCTCAATCTGAAATTATTTTTTTTAATGTTTCTGTTGTGTCTGCCTTTAGGTTTTGAGTTGGTGCAGTTGGAGCATTTTTCATGTGGGTCATTCTTACTTTGTCCACTACATGGATTATGGTAAACTGCTGACTGTAAAGCTTTATTTAAAAAAAAAAAACGGTTCGATAATAGCGAGCTAGCAGGAGTCTGGCTGCTCCTTTGGTTAATGGTCACCTTGTGCAGCGTGTCATTTCAATTGGAGGGCAATGTCCATTTAGGTTTGTCGTTTTACAATGATTGATTTGTTCAAAACATGGTTTTATAACCTAGTAACTGTCCTAAACATCCACATTTTCCTTTGTTTTCTCTACACCACTGAGGCAACAACAGCTGGATTTATACTGATGAGACACAAGGGGGCAGTATTCAGTCATCTGGTGACTTCTTATGAATTTTGTCAACATTGTGCTTTTTTATATAATTTAAGTTCACAATAATGAACTACTTTGTGTTTTACCACATAACATATAAAATAAGCAGCCATTAAAAAAGATCAAAGGGTATCAATGCTTCTGCGAGGAGCTGTAGTCTTAATATATAATACAGATACTTTAAAGCATGGCTTGGTGTCTATCACACCCTTATTCTTGTTTAGAAAACATTTATTTCCCATCTTAATGCTGAATATGCATTTTTAATATAGTTTGATTCCAAAGCTTTCTAAAGTTGAGTTCACGTACATTTTTTATCTGTTCAGATGCTCTAATTAAAAGTAATCTTGGTATTTTTACTAGATTAATAGATTTAATAAAATGAAAAAGTAACTTAGACAGTTGGTGCTGATGCTGTGACTCTTTATGAACATCTGCAGGTCAAGGAGCTGAAAAGTTTGCTAACCACCCCAGTAAGAGGAAATGTAAAACCCACTTTCATATATCTTTATCTTTTTTTTTTTTACATTCAGACTCTGATTATAAAGTTAAATTTCCAGACTGTGAAGGAACCCTGCATCCAAAGGCTCCAGGTCTTAGTTTCTTACGTTTCCTTTTCAGTGCTAATAAAGTCAACCTGTTTTACAAACTGCGTAGCAGGTGTGGAGTAAAAATGAGCAGAGAGTTGATATGCAAGGAAGAACGCGTTTTATTTTACTCTGCAGAGTAAATGGCACAAACCAGCTGAATACAGCTGAGTGTGATTTAGAATCGCACCCCTACATTTAAAAAGAATCCACAGCATACACACACATGAACATTGAATCTTCCCAAGAGAAACACTTAAGTTCATCAAAGGACATAAATTTGCTCAGATAAACATTTCAGATAACTGTATTCCGTTCGCACCAGAAACAGGACGGGAGAACGATAAGAGCATAAGTTTTAACCATAGCTTGGAGGCGGCTTTATGAAATCCTTATTTCTCATGACCTTCCTTTCACCCTTGTCTAGAGTAGGGAGGGGAAGCACCTGCTTTCTGTCCCCCTAAACAGTACAGCATAGTGAATGGAACAGGATCTCTCTATCATTACTTCTGTTCAAACATTTTATCACACAATATAGGCCAAGGGAAAACCTTGATTCTACACAGGGAACCAACCAGAACATCGGTTTACACACATAAATAGAAGGCCACCAAAAAACCGTGCAGTCTGCATAACTACTGTAGACCAACTCACCTGCCCAGTGGATTATGGCCTAATGGTTTAGTTCAGGGGTTACCAACATGGTGCCCGCGGGCACCAAGGGGCCCTCAAGGACCACAAGGGGTGCTCTTAGAGTCTTCTGAAAATAGAACAACTCAACAGTGAGCTACGTTTGAAATTTCACTGTATTCTGTTGCTCTTCTTTTTTTAATTGGGTTATAGATCCTTTCATCATATATGGCATTTAAGAATTTATAGAGATTTCAAAAATGAAAATGTCTAAAAGAAAATTATAAATTTAAAGAAACGATAAAGATATGTATGAAGTTTAGGTGAACGTTGACCCTTGCCATTCATAGTTCAGTATTGGTAGCCCTTCCTGTGACTCAGTGCCCCTGAATTAGCCCTCAGCTGTAAAACGGTTGGTGACCGCTGGTTTAGTTGCATTTATAATTTGGTATTTGGTGAGCGCATGTATTATGCACCGACCTGGGACTGGATTAGCAGTTATATGAAATAGTTTGTTTGGTCAAATGCTGTCATGGGGCAGCCGAGACATGATTCAATAAACAATAAAAAATTAAACTATGTTGGCATAAATAGTTTTTTCTTTTTTTTGCCCATATCTAAATATACTGGCACCTTTAAACTATATATATATATATATATATATATATATACATATATATATATATATATCAATGATATCTCCTCAAATCAGAGATCAAGATGGTTTTTGAAAAATACAGAAAAATGTTATTTCTCAAAAAAACAAAAACAAAAATTGAGCTGTAAGTTTGTTTTTTGCTAGAGGTAGTATTTTTACACATGGTGAAGCAAACTGAAGGAATTTCAACATTTCTCTATGAACGCGTTTGATAACAGATTTGTATTATTTTATACTAAACTCTAAATCAAAGACAAATTACAGGCAGCTGATGTTTTAACAGATGAAAAAATAATGATGGATGCATTTTATAAAATGTATTTATTACATATTTAACCTGCTGATCATCCGGGTGATAGGATAACTCACTGTTAGTGATCTCTTGATAGGTGCAGCTTTACTCTCAGACCTTAACATTTAAACAGTGATAAATGCTGATAATTTATCTGACAAGAGAAGAGATCTGTGTGCATATACATTTAAAAAGACTTGATGTAACCGTTTTTCCTTGCTGTCTGAACAATGTAGCGGTCATCAAGTCAGTAACAGATGTGACTGAATGCTTAGAGTCATTGTCCATCTGGGAGACCAACTTATGTCAAGTCCTTCACCGTCTGCTTGATGTTGCTTCAATATTTCTGCACGATGTTCTTTCACTCAGATAATACCTCACATTTTCTTCCCATGAAGCCAAACGTTATGTCCTGAGGTGTCAAAAATATTATTACTCAAGTATGATTATAAATACTACGGTTTAAAAAAACTTCTGTAGAAG